CAAGTAGGCGATCGCGCTCAACCCGCTCTGCTAATCGACTAGCGCTCAGTTGTTTGTCCTTTTCGCCGACGGCAGTAATCCACTTGCTTGCTACATCAGATCCTGCCGGAGGGTGAGGACCAGAAGAGCCGTATCGTGAAGGTCCAGAACCGATTGGCGCTGGAGGTTGAGGTCGGGCTTGAGAAGATTGTCGTTGATTATTGGGAGGGGCGATAGGTGATGGCCCCTTGTTTCCTTGAGAACCTGGGCGATTATCCAGAGGCGCACGACCGATATCGGTATTGAATGTGCCGTTACCAAGGCCTCGATCATTATTAGGTGACCCCCAAACATTGTTTCGGGGCTGCGAACCTGTACCCCAATTTGACACGGCTCTATCCTGGCGTGATGCTGCAGCTGCTCCCCAAAGCTCACTAGGCTTCGCTTCTTGGCTGTGAGATACACGCCTCGCCGCTGGCGCTGTGCCTTGAGTGTGTCCAACTTTAGCATCAGAATCTTGAGGATGTTGTCGAGCTGACGAAGCTGTTACAGAGTGATCACCATCCTGCTGCAATTGTGTAGGAATTTGGTTTGCCACGCTACTATGGTCACGTTGTTGAATGTGTGTTGGGTGTGAAACATCGTCAGACTTCTCAGCGGGCTCCTTCTTCTCGGTCTTCTTCTCTGGCGCAGGTCCCATAGCATCCAGCTTTTTCTGAATGCGCTCCCGACGTTCAGCTTCCTCACGGGCTTCTTCTTCCTGGCGTCGTTTCCTAGCTAACTCGACACGTTCTCGCATGAGCTTCTTCTGATATTCGACCTCCTCGCTAGCAGGTTGAAGGGGAGGGGGTGGACCGGCAACTTGCTCAGGAAGAGGTGCAGGGTGGTGTGGTTGTGCAAAGGCAGGATTTGGAGAACTCCGAGGAGGCATCCAGCTAGAATGATGTTGGCCCCTCGTTGGACCATGCACTGAGGCTGAAAGATTGGGGGAGACGAGGCCATCAACGGAACCAACGAAAGACGGTCTACGGCCTTCCTGTAATTCGTGAGGGGGGATGGGCACTTCGCCTCCCTTATTCATACGCTGCATAAATGAGCCACTTCCGCCACTAACATTAGATGATCCTCGTCTTCTAGCGAACGGAGGTTCCTGAGAAACTCTATTGGTCTGGAAAGCACCCGAGGGTTCAGCTGGATAATCTGGTTGGGGTGGTCGCTGTAATAGGGAAGGATGATGCCTTGGGTGCTGTTCCATTCTCATCGAGCCACGCCGATTGTCGTGCACAGGTTCGTAGCGGCCAGAATGGGAGTTAAACAATTCCCGGCCTCCGTGAGATGAACTGTCTTTCCAACGATTGAAATCATCCGCCGCAAATTCCTTTGGAGGCGGCGGAGTCATGCCCTTATGATGTGGCGGTCTAGCAAGACCGGCCGGTTCTGGAATAGGTGAAGCTTTCTCGACCGGAGGTAGAGGCGCCCACGGGGACTTGACGGGTGCTGGGGGAGCTGGAGGTTTGGCAACAAGAGTTGGTTTTTCCTGGGAGCCACTCTTCAAAATCAAACCCTTGCCCTGGGCCAGATTACTCGACTTCGTCAGGGGGGAGCTCACAGCTACAGGTGGAGCTGGAGACCGTGGTTTATCGAGGGGTTTACCCTTGGACGCAACAGAACCACTGTCTGATGGCGGTGGCGGATGCTCGTCTGGGTGGGGGAGCGTCGTCTTTGTGCCATCTCCCCAAGTAATAGCTTCAGGGGCCCAGTCTTCATCGTCATCGTCAATGTCTGCCCATTTGTTTTGCCCCTGTGCATCATCTTCGTTCAAACGGCTGGCCATATGGATTCCATACTTCTTGAGCTCCTCATCGGTAAACTTTTTGGGTTCAGGCGGTGGCACAGCTACATTTTCGTTAGTTCATTAAGTCGGCTGATTCAGGATGTTGCACATACGTCGGTTTTTGTTCCAAACTGCATTTGCATCAGGTGCACTACCAGGCTTTCCCCCATTCACACCACCAGAGAATCGAGGCGATGAATCGCGAGTGCTGCTACCGGTCTTTGCTATAAGGCGAGGTCTTGAAGAGGATAAGGTGGCCGATGTCGTCGGGGGCGTACTGGAACCGGCAGGCTGTTTCTCGGCGGCCTTGGTCGCAGCACTGTTGGCAGTCGCCTTTGCTGCGAGAAATGTTTTATTGACCGAGACAGCCTTGAAGGCAGGCTTCTTGACTGTGGAGCCTGCGCGGCCATGAACTTTCTCTCCATCTTTCGTCTTTGAAGCATCAGCGCGTGATGCCTCTGTATCTGAACCTCCACTGGCACTAGCATCGGCGGAGGTGAGCTGATCTTCGACGTTTGTAATGTGCTTATTTTCATAGTCATCGTTGCCGGCACTGCCATTCAAATTCGAGCGGACGAGGTCGACATTTTCGGCGTCGGGCGACTAAGTTCATGAGAGAGTCTGTTAGCAAAGCTAGCTACAGCAGCTCAGCTAACTGAAGCAATAGGTTCAAATAGGCAATGAAGAAGGCCGCAGTGTGCCAATTTCGCCAAAAGCAAAACGGTTGGAATTTTACTTTCGCAAAGCAGGGAAGAGGAAACGTACAGGCTGTGACTGAGAGGCAGTGGCATCGGCAGCTTTATCAACGGCAGCCTCTGTTGCCATCATACGTGGTAAGAATGCGCCGGTCGTGTGTTAAGCAAAAGAAGCCCTCTTGATGAGTTTCTCCGCCTTGTCTCGTCGATTTCTGGTCGGACTAGAGTTTAGAGGCAGACGAAACGTCAGGTCTCGAGGTCGGATCAGTTGCGACGCCGCGGGGCGGGGAGGGCAAGAGTATCGGTAGTGGGGATCGGAGGATGTGACGGGATAGAAAGGCGATCTTCGTTCGTCCGATTGCGAGGTATTTGATACGATGCTCGATCCAGGAGTCGGGGGTGGGATATGAGGAGGAGAAATCACCAAACTGCAAGGCGTGTCAGTTGCGAGGTGTAAGGTGAGGTTTCAATGAACCCGGAGTAACTGCGGCTGATGCACTGGTGTTTGTGATGTGGAAGGCCAGACAGACAGACGCCAGTTTTCAGAGACCCGAAAGTGATGCTGGAGGCTGGGCTAGGCTTAGCGGCCAAACGATAAGGGGCTGGGATTGGCCATCCGGTCCCGGCCCCTGACTGCCAGTGGCAGGGCTGCCGGGACCAATTCCAGCTACCAGCTACAAGGCCGGTACGCCCTGGAGCTTAGGGGCATCATCAAGTGCCTTGTCATCATGGAGCCGAATGACTCTACCGGCCACTCAGCTGATCAGAAAGGACCTGATCTCATCTAATTTTGGGTGCAAGGAACCTGATGGCAATATTCATGAGAGTCATTCAGTATCAGTAACTGTCATCCAGCATTTGCTTTTGCACGAAAATAGGTTAATAAAGCAAGCAAGCATCCTATGATAGGCTTTGGCACGCGCACTAGGTATCGTCTAATTGACTTCCTTTGGTCAGTCCTCAAATTCTACAAACAATGCAGTTTACACATTATATTTGTCATTATCCAGATCATCCTGCCAACTCATTCACCTGCTAAATGAGTATATATACGTCTATACTTATCAAGACTGGATTTATGCTTACTCCGAGGACCGGCTGAGTCAACACTGTGACATGATCTGTTGGAAGTTCTTAGTGTACAGTACAGTGACGCAGCCTGTGTAGACTTTCAACCCGAAGGACAGCCAAGAGGAATTCTTGACGTGCAGCAACTCAAATACCGGACGGTCTCTTTTTGCAGAATACGGAAGAGCTTGAGAACGCAGTACCACCCAAAAGTTTACATTTCTAACAGAGATACGGGTACACAGAAAGCTCCCGCTTCGGAGACACAGCATTACGTAGAACCAGATAACAGCGCATAACCAAAAACGTGATGGCATTGTCACATCACTTGCCTGTTAGAGATACATAGGGAAGCCAAGGCGCGTGCTCGACCGCGAAGTTTCCGGAGTTTATATGTACACGACCCCCGCTCCCTCTCACATAATGATCCATCTAAGGTATCTAAACGCCATTTTAAGCTGCTTAGTGAGCGTTGTTCTTGTGGTGGCCTAATGATTCCAGCATTAGCAAACAGCTCCCGTTCAACCCTGTGACAGGGAGACTTACGAAGGTGGAAGTAGTAGTTCTGGACGTAACCGATGCTGACAAGGAAGACAATCAGGTGAATGATAGCTGCAACACAATCACTGTCAGAATCCAACAACTAAATCCAATCTTGAGATAGGGTGTCCGTACGCTTGCCAGTGGGGTTCTTGCCGAAGTGCTTGGCCTGGTATCGGCCGAGGAGACCCTTAGCCTTGACCTCGGGGGCGGAACCTCGGGGGAGCTTCTCGTAGAAGCTGACGACACGCTGCATGCGGATAGCATCAGGAGCAGCGCCAATGGCCTGTGGTGGATCGAATTCTGTCAGCCTTCTGAATCTCCATCATGACGAAATTTCCCTCCATTGTCGATCGTCCATAAAAGTCCTCATCCATCCAAAACTCGTCGAGATCGAAAACGAAGCTGCGTAGGACAATAGTTTCATCGTATTCTGCGTACCTTAGGAGAAGCGACCTGTTTTTGAAAACCTGGTGTTAGTAACGGAATCAATCGGAGCACCGGGGATTTGCGCCCATAACCGAAGGGGCTCTCTCTCACCTTGGGGGGGATGAGCGTCGAGAGCGCTCGGCGGGTGACGAAGCTCATGATGTTGGTATTTCGGGGGGTTCGAGTCTCGAGAATTGGTCCGTCGAGGGTCTGCGTGACGCTCAATTGCAAGGGCTGGAGTTTGAGGTTCTGTCGAGATGAACGGTCCCGCCCAGGTTCAGGTTCTTGCCGAAAAGCACTCGTTCCGTGACTTCGGCAAAACAACTGATCCGCTCCACCCAATCAGAATCACGCCGTTCAAGCTTGCTTCAACCTCAGAATATCGCCGCAGCAGCCATCACTCACTCAAGAAACGACACGCCCTCATCGCCAATTGAAAGCTACCGCCTTGCACCATGGCCGCCCTCCGATCTCAGAGTGCGGCTCGTATGCTGCGAAGCGCTGCTGCGCCCAGAGTCGCCCTCTCCGCCGCACCCCGACGATTCCAGAGCAACGTCACCCAGGCCAGCGGCACCATCACTGGCCCTGTTACCAGCGAGCCTGACTACAATATCGAAGCTGACAAGGCCACCTCGTACGATTCCTCGAAGCGCGATTAAAATTAAAAGGATAATATCAGTGCTGACTTGATGCCAGCACCTACACACCTGTCCCTCGATCCGTCCAGAATGGCACCGAAGAGATCCTTCCCGCTGCTGTGATCTCAGGCGCTCCCATGGAACTCCAGGCCCGAACGGTTCGGTTCGTCTGCCCACATACATGACTCGAATATCGTCGAAAGCTTCAGCAACTAACAATTACTACAGCATCTACCAGGAAGCTAAGCCTGCGACTCAGTCCGGCGACTGGCGCGGTCGACGCTGGCGAATGGATTGGGATATTCTTCCTAAGGGACATCGATGGGAGAACCCTTTGATCGGTTGGCAATCTTCGGGTGATTTTATGCAAGGCACCCACATCAACTTCTCGAGCAAGGAGGATGCTATTCACTTTGCTGAGAAGCAGGGCTACGAGTACTTTGTTCAGGAGCCAAACTCTCGCAAGTTTGCACCTAAGGCTTATGCCAACAACTTCCTGTACTCTGCCAGAAAGCTTAAGCATATCAGGACGAAATAGATGGCTCGGGCAGATCGGCTCCATGTAAATGTTATAAAGGCTCTTTTAAGTTCAGTGGCTTTCAACTACAACAAACCCTTTTTAGGCAATGTCACCCGTGAACTACCATGCATGATAAATGAATGATTAACATTGCCTCTAGGATGCTGTCGAGGTCTACAGCCTATTTATGACAGCCTTTTCAGAACGCCCAACAGCCAGCCTTTGTCTTATTCATAATCCTTACCATAAGGATGTCAATCTTATCCCAAACGCCATGCGCTACTTGGACAAACAGCGCCACACAATCAAAACTACTACTCTTCGAACATGCCTCCAGGTCAGGTATCAATTTCACGTTGTAATCATGGGATCATGGCCGTTTCCAGTGTGAGGTCTAGGGCTGTCGGGTTCTTCTCCGTTCAAGCCAATATCCAGTCGGTCAGGCAAGTTTTTACGCTTATCCCGGGCAGTATTTTCGGCCCAGACACGCATTCGGACGAGCTGGCGAATAGCTGCTTCACGTCTTCGGGATTGTCTTTCAAGGATGGCCCGATTTACGCTGTCTGCAACTTCTCGTCGCAACTCTGGCTCTAGCAATGCTGCTAACTGGGGCTCGCGCGCGTCAGATGGAATCAAGAGCAATGCCATGGTCCTCTCCAAGTCTTCTAGAAACTTGGGGTTCGTGGGTGCTTTGGGGCCCAGTTCCTCAGTAGCGAAAGTGAGGGCTGGTTGAATATCTCCAGTCGCATTACAACCGCGAATGAGTTCAATGAGTTGAAGTCGTAGCAAGGTAAAATGCAGTGCCTTATCTCCATCTAAGATCTTTGTGTCAAGTTAGCGACAATGCATTCCAAAATTTATGAAATGAAGAAGTGAAAAGAAAGATAATCATGAAAAGTGGTTGTTCCTCATCAAAGGCCCGAAGGCTCTATGAGTGGTGCATGTAAAACTCGTGTTCTAATCATATAAAAAATGGGTTCAAAGAAGTGGTAGCGCATACCTGTGGGTCAAACTCATTGAGTGTCGTTATCGCTGTCTTAATATCACCACTGTGAATGCAGTTCTGGATTTCCTGCCTCGCTATAATGTACTGCGTGTCCTGGTGAGGCTCAAGATTGGCTTCCTTGGAAAAGTTTGCTGCCGCATTCGGATAACCTTCCATAGTAAGATAGTCCAGTATTAGAGCGTTGATATCACTTCAAAGACGTTAGCAACTGCTGACAAGAAAGTGCATACAACGAGGTGTATTGAATCGTGGGTTCAGAAAAAGAAGATTGATATCGTGTTTCCGCATTATATGCTAGGAGAGATTCCCATTGATAGTGCGTTCATCACTTGACCAAGGTAGGTGACATGGCTGTAGGGGAAGAGGATCGTACCTTTTGGGGGACTTGACATCGTGGACACGCCGGTCAAAGGCGTGCTTGACGGGAGTAGCTGTAGAAGCAGATGACGTCTGATTCTCGAGTCAGCACCCAGCTATACAAAGCTTGGGCTGAAGCTCGGCTTGTCGACAACAAAGCTCACCATTTTGTCTAATTATCCCAGCACGGGGATCGCTGCGAGTCGAAGCTTGAACGGAGACAGGTTAATCGACGGCACAGTATAGAAGCAATAGCCGGAAGTAGGCGATTCAGCGCATCGAGAATCAGGCCACAATCCAGGCTCGTGATCTCTATGCTACTCGTAGGAAAACTTTCTGTGTTTACCGAACGATGTAAAGAAGAAAGAAGAAAAGAAAAAAGAGAAGAGGTTGACGAAAGATGGAGGAGAAGAAAATATGATTGGGGCTGGAGGAAAAGTAGCGCCGTGTTCGTGGGTCCAAAGCCTGTAGCCTCATTACTAGGCCTGAGAACCAATCATGTCGACGAAAAGCTCCACTGAGCTTTGCTCTGTCTGCCTCAGGTCTCCATCATTGACAGCCCCGCCAAATCAAGCAAAGGTCCCTGAGAACGAGCTCCGTTGTATGCCGCGGCTATGCCACTGCTCTCGATGAATCGATTTGGGCTGTGCAATAAAGTCCACGGTATGACCCTAATCACGATTTGAGATGTCGATTCGATATTTCCGGCATAGTCCTCCTATTATAATACAGCTAATGGGCTCTAATCTGGGCATCAAGGAGGGTCATGGTACCCTAACTCATGAGATCGATGTCATGAGCCAAGCCACAGATTACATGCCACGGAGCTTGCAGAGGTCACCATGATCGAGCTAGAGGCGTGATACCTACCTTGTAGTAGAACAGGGCTAGACTTACGGAGTATTTACAGTAGCTTATCTCTCTTCATCGTGCGGAGAACGCAATGCGCCTTCGGCCATCGCCGTCTTTCGATATACAGATACGGTATGAGGAGAACCCTGACGAGGACAAGTCGATCGTTAAAACATGGGCAGGGCCAGGGCTGAGCTGGTTTATCTTCTTACACTTCTGCTTTCTAACTCAAACACCAAAATATATCAATATATCTACTCTCACCCTCACTCTCACTCCCTCCTTTTCCTCCGGCCTATAGCTACGGCTGCTAGCAATAGCCCATTTCTTCACTGAAGCTCTCACTGTTGTCCCGCTTCTTCTTGGCCCTCTGTGGATCACACACGCGACAGGACCGTGCTCACTGCTCCACCAACGACGAGCAAGCCAAACCCTCAAGTCGAAACTTTGAAGGCACCATATTCGTACAGCTCGTGGGCATTGCAGGGCTAGTTTTCGGAGAGGAAAGTTTGAGTTCTCCAGTCTCGCCATTCGTTCGTTCAATCCTCGTCTTCTTCGCTCCAAATTTCAGGTGACGGTGACCTCATCTCGAGAACTAGCCCACCGCAATGTCCGCCTCTGCAATCCCTGAAGTCAATGGCGGGCTCGAGAGTCATGTCACGGTTCAGAAGCGAGCTTACTATTCACCTCCTTGGGCCGATGTCAGCATTATCGGCGTCGCGGGCAGCTCAGGTTCAGGCAAATCGACCTTGTCCCAGGCTATCGTCAAGAAGTTGAACCTACCCTGGGTCGTTATTTTGTCAATGGCATGAAGTCCTGAAACTATACTTCGAACATAAGCTCATATATAACAGGACTCTTTTTATAAGACCTTGACACCTGAACAGTCTAAATTGGCTTTTGCCAACGAATACGACTTCGACTCGCCTGACGTATGCTTCATGTGATATCGGGTGAACTCCAGAATGACAACTGATGCTATTCTTATAGGCCATCGATTTCGATGTTCTGGTTGATAAGTTACGGGATCTTAAGGCTGGGTATGTGTAGTTGAAGACGGTTCTGGGATTTACACCTCACTGACGTCTCACCATACTCATAGAAAACGGGCCGAAATTCCTGTTTATTCATTCGCGAAACATTCTCGACTGGACCATACAACATCCATCTACTCGCCTCATGTACTTGTCTTGGAGGGCATTTTTGCGCTTTACGACCCTCGAGTGCTCGAGCTACTGGATATGGGTGTATGTTAAATCCGATGCCCTGTTGAAGCGTATGATTTGAACCTAACACTGAATTTAGATTTATTGTGAGGCAGATGCAGATACTTGCCTGTCAAGGAGACGTAAGTCTTAATGTTAGGAAGACCTATGGAAGGGATTTCTGACCAGGTTGGTATAGTTGTCCGTGATGTCCGAGAGCGTGGGCGAGATATCGAGGGCATCATCAAGCAGTGGTTTGGATTTGTCAAGCCAAACTTTGAGAAGGTAAGCTCTCGGTATCAGTAACAGGGAATTCCTTACGAAGGCTAATTAAAAAATCCAAGTTCGTCGAGCCCCAACGGAAGGTTGCTGATCTGATCGTACCACGAGGAATCGAGAACAGAGTTGCCCTTGGTGAGTTGTCATAAGACCTTGGAACCCCGATTTAAATGCTCATGTTTGCAGAAATGATGGTTCAGTTTGTTGAGAAAAAGCTGTTCGAGAAATCAAGACATCACCGAGAGGCACTGTCCCGCCTGGAAGCAGCAAGTAAGGATTCGCCGCTTTCTGAACGGGTCGTGGTCTTGGATGATACACGGCAGCTCAAATTCATGAATACCATCCTTCAGGATATTGACACAGATCCTGAGGATTTCATCTTCTACTTTGACAGGCTTGCGAGTCTGATCATTGAACAGTAAGAGACTGTGAGTATGAAAGACTGGTTGTTCGCTAACACTTTATAGAGCCCTCAACAATGCCCATTTCGAGGCCAAGAATATTGTGACACCCCAAGGATACGAATACAAGGGTCTTGTATCAACGGGTGAGGTCTGTGCCGTTATTGTACTCCGAGGAGGATCGGCGTTTGAGCCGGCGCTTCGAAAGACTATTCCCGATTGCCGAACGGGCCGTCTTCTCATCCAATCCGACTATTCCACGGGAGAGCCGGAACTTCATTACTTGCGACTACCTGACGATATTGCAGACCAAGAAAGCGTCCTACTTCTGGACACCCAGATGGCTACTGGAGGTGCAGCGTTGATGGCGGTGCAAGTCCTGGTCGATCACGGCGTGAAGCAGGATCGTATTGTTCTAGCAACATACTCGGCCGGCAAGGTTGGACTTCACAGATTGACATCTGTTTTCCCAGAGATTACAGTCGTGGTTTGCAACATGCTCGACTACCAACAAGAAAGATGGGTCGAGAAGAGGTATTTCCGCTGCTGATGGACCACTCATATATATAGCATAGTCTGTCATGATATATGATGGCAGAATCTTGGAAACAACGCAGTGATTGTGGTAGTCAAATCAAGGTTGACGATAGGGATTATCGGAATGTCCGGTAATTATATCCGTAAAGGAAGCAAATATACGAATAGCGCTGCCTTTGATTGCTGCGTCAGCTCTTCGCAATCTTGAGGTCCACCACAATGTGCATCTCATCAGCATCTGTAACGTAACTGACTGATCCACGGCTGGGATCCACGAAACGGGACGTCCGAAACCAACAGGATACTTGGAAAAAAAGAGGAGCCACTGTGTGATATTTGACGCAAACCAGCCAAAGTCATGGGCATGGCGGCCGACGTATCCGAGGGGTCGATATGGCTTCAAATGAATACGTGGGTTCGTCTATGTACGGCCTATGGTTTAATGACGATGGAAAATAAGATATTGAGGTTTGAAGTGCCATATTGCTGTACAGTAGTGGAGTCGCCGATCTTCGGTTGTCATGGATCGCCAAGAAATTGGTGGTGATGAAGGGGAGACTGGGAGAGCTCTGGTAATGACGTAGCTGTACCGTGCTGTAGGTACCGCCTCTGGAAGTCTCAGCTGCAACCACATCCAGTTCATCCCTGATTGAGCTCCGTAAACGGGAAGATCCTTTTTTAGATGCATGCATTACACAATACAATCGAAACTAGAAGACTCTGTTTTCCTCTGCTTCACTCTTGTTCTCTTCCTGCATCATCCATTGAGTGTTCTCTCACTGACATTCTGTGCTTCCGCTCGTGTCATGATCTAGAAAGCACCAAACGTTTTCTTTGACCTCGTTGGCTTATCATTGATTGACGTTGAACATCCCACCAATTCCGCAAAATAATGCCCATCTCTTCTATGATGGCCGCGCGACTGGCTCGCGCCGGTCAAAACAGGGCCATTACCAGCTCTCGATGCTTCAAACCGTCTCTCGCTCCTCGCCCACTATACTCGTCACAATCGCGAAGCTTCGTCAAGCTCACAGGGGCTTCGCCTTCAATCACAAAGGGCTCTCCAGCAACGAGCCGAACAACCCGCCAGCTACCCTCCCAATTCTTCGTGCGTGCCCTTTCAGGAAAACCACTTCCCCAAGGAAAGTCTAAAGTCGTTAATTTTTGCTATCGCCTAGCGGCTTGGGTTGGCATCTCAATATCAGTCATCGGCGTTGGTATTGTTGGCTTCTTCATATACGATGCCAGCACATATTGCGAGCACCCCACTCAGAGCGATATCGATATCTCAAAAATTGCCCTACAGCCTCGCAGTGGTGGTGAAAAGAACCTGCCGATCGCCGAGGTGTTCATTGATGATGACGACTCGGAGGAGAAGCGTCGCCTCAAAGACAAGCCACGACTGGTGATTCTTGGTGGCGGATGGGGAGGCGTTGCGCTCCTCAAAGAACTGAACCCAGAAGATTATCACGTTACTGTTATTTCGCCAACCAATTACTTCCTCTTCACCCCTATGCTTCCCTCAGCTACAGTAGGTACTCTCGAACTGCGATCTCTTGTTGAGCCTATTCGACGAATCCTGAGCCGGGTTAACGGTCACTTCATTCGCGCCAAGGCTGAAGATATCGACTTTTCGCACAAGATGGTAGAAGTGTCGCAAGTTGACGCAAACGGCAAGGATATCAAATTCTATGTGCCATACGATAAGCTTGTCGTTGCTGTCGGTTCGACGACCAACCCTCACGGTGTCAAGGGTCTGGAAAATGCCTACTTCCTTAAGGATATCAATGACGCACGCATGATTCGAAACCAGGTCATACAAAACTTCGAGTTGGCCAATTTGCCTACATGTCCAGATGAGGAACGAAAGCGTCTGCTTTCCTTCTGCGTCAGTGGTGGTGGCCCTACAGGTGTCGAGTTCGCTGCTGAGCTTTTTGACCTTCTCAACGAGGATCTGACGAGGCACTTCCCCCGACTTCTACGTAATGAGATCTCAGTTCATCTTATCCAAAGCCGTGGACATATTCTGAACACATACGATGAGACTGTTTCACGATATGCTGAGGAACGCTTTGCTCGCGACCAAGTTGACGTCCTCACCAACTCTCGTGTCAAGGAGGTCCTCCCTGACAAGATCATCTTCACACAGAAACAGGAAGATGGCACAATGATCACCAAGGAGCTGCCCATTGGCTTCTGCCTTTGGTCGACTGGTGTTTCGCAAACCCAGTTCTGTCAAACACTGGCTGCTAAACTGGGCAAATCTCAGACAAACCGGCATGCTCTGGAGACTGACACCCACCTTCGTCTTAATGGCTCACCGCTGGGCGATGTATACGCCATCGGAGATTGTTCTACAGTCCAGAACAATGTTGCCGACCATGTAGTCACCTTCCTGCGATCCTTGGCCTGGAAGCGTGGCAAGGACCCCGAGACGCTTCAGCTCAGTTTCGCTGACTGGCGAGGTGTTGCTGAGGACGTCAAGAAACGATTCCCCCAGTCTATCAACCATCTCAAGCGCGTGGACAAGCTATTTGAGGAATTCGATAAGGACAAATCCGGCACACTCGACTTTGATGAGTTGACACAATTGTTAAAACAAGTTGACAACAAGCTCACATCCTTGCCTGCTACTGCCCAGCGCGCTCATCAGCAAGGACAATATCTTGCTCGCAAGTTCAACAAGATGGCACGCATGCATGAGGGCCTGAACGCCAACGACATTCGCGAGGGTGATGTTGATGCTGCTGTTTACAAGGCCTTTGAGTACAAGCACCTAGGCAGCCTCGCTTATGTTGGTAACTCTGCCATCTTTGATCTTGGTGAGGGTCGAAGCTTGGCTGGTGGCCTTTGGGCTGTTTATGCTTGGCGCTCTGTCTACTTTGCGCAGAGCGTGAGTCTGCGAACACGATTATTGATGGCTATGGACTGGACCAAGCGAGGTCTATTTGGACGAGGTTTGTATTCCTTCCTATTCTCACGAGTATCTCTGACAATAAACAGATTTAATGAGTTTCTAAATCTATTTTTATGAATGCTTAATATTTGTCATTTCTTTAGATCTTGAGGCGTTGGAGCTTAGTATAGAGGCATAGCAGGACTTGCGAAAAGCACGTTTGTAGACGCGATGTAGCAGAGGAATCGCAAGTCTAATTTGCTTGATGGAGTTATGCTCTATGAGTTACGCTTCTGGGGCCCTTTTTTCGCAGCAAAAGTCGAAATATTATTTTTCTCCCTAAAACACCTAGACGCCCATCTATCTTTTATTATATCATGAAGTCCTTGTATGTCCACTTCTCCGTAAACTTGCGCTTGGCCTGTTTGTGGAAAGCAATATGTCTTCTGCTCTCAACCTTGCCACGCACCAACATGCTTCGGTATCTGTCCCGGAGCATGTTGCCCTCGGGCTTGAGACGGCGCAGCGAGCTTTCGAGCTCATCTGGAAGGACAAGCTCAAGATCCCGTTCAGGAAGCTTGTACTTGCCAAGCTGCTTGCGGCGCAACTTCTCGGCACGAAGCTCATCAATGGGGTCAGATTCGTCGTCTTTTTGCAAGACAAGTGCCTTGTTGCGGTCTCTTTCTTCAATCTCCTCGGCGATCTCCTGGATGCGCTGGGCTTGGCGACGGTGGGCCTTAAGGGCAGCCTTGTGTTTCGCGAGACGCTCCTCTTCCTTGCGGCGCTTGATGCGATTGCGCTGAGCTTGGGTCTTTCTCTGTGGGCGCTTGGCGGATGGCTTATCATCTTCAGCACCACTCTGGAATCCTTCCCATTCGGAATCCTCCTCCCACTCTGAAAGGTTGGCACGAGCCTCTGCGGCCTCAGCCTCAGCCGCTGATCGGGCTGCAGCCTCCTGCTTAATGCGCTCCTGTTCCTCTTTCTCCAGGCGCTTGCGCTCAGCTTCAAGAGCCTTCTCACTCTCTTCTTCCAGACGTTGTGTGTACTCGTCGAAATCAGGGTTGTAGCTATATCCTCCCGTGGGCTTGAGGACAGCAGGAACCTGCTTGCCACTCTCCAACAAAGAAAGGGGCTCCTTCTTCATCGACTTTGGAGCCTTGGGCTTGACCTCGTCTTCCAAGAAGTTTTCGGGATCCTTCGCCTGTGGCTCTGTAGGCATGTCCCAGATGTCATAGGTGGCATCTTGTACTTGGACAGTATTCTGATGTTCTCCATCGGCCACTCGCTTTAGTCGCGCCAGCTCCTTGTGTGACACCCAATCAGTCCTTTGGCGTTTTACAGGAAGAATTCCGTTGGTTGTCTTGTCGCCCGGTCGCTTGCGCATGGAAACGGCGGGCACGGGAGACCGGGCATTGATAATCTCGTCAGCCTTGAGGCCCTTCTTGATGTGCTTGTTGAACTTTTTGGGTAGACCGGCATCGCCCTTAGTATCGAGAGTGAACAAGTCTTCAGAGGACTTCTCCTTGATAACACCACTATAGAGATATTAGCAGAGCGAGAAGGAAGTGCTTGGAGTTTAGCTTACCCAGCGATAATCTCCTTGTTCAATTCTTCAAGACCCTTCTGCACCTCGGTTACATCAACATTTTTCCTCCATGCCTTCTTTCCTTTTCGCGAAGGCTGGTTGAACTGTTTGGGAGCATCGCCCCCGGTGGCGTTCTTGGATTGTAACACTGGCATATTTGCGAGTCCTCTCTGGAAAAGGATATCGCGTTGTCGATAATGAAGAACGAAAATGCTGCTTATTGATAGAAGTGGTGGGGGACCGATTTCTTAATTTTTTAGTGGAGCCGGGAGTCTCGACCCGCTCCCTCCATACAAAATACGGAAGCAAATCAATCAAACGCTTAACTTGATGGGGACTCCGTAATGGACGGCAACAGATATGTTCTTATCGGCACGTGCACCTTCCTCGGATTCGTTCAGGGTGGCCTCCATGTCATATGCTCCTGCCAAATCCAGGATCTAGACGCTCCTTTCTCCAGATTCCAGCTGGTAATTAGCCTTTTATCCCTACGATACAAATTGCCACTCTGAGGTCGCATCTTTCTGTTGTTCTTCCGTTTCTTGCGTCGCCAAGAAAAGAATCTATTCCTTGAAGAAACCGAGATCGCATCCTATCCTTTCCAGCGGCCTCATATCCATTAGCTTGACAGCTGTCAAATCCACCGTCCCTTACAAGCCTCCGAACGAGACAACAGAGCCGCAAAGATGTCGCAAGCTGGCGGATCATACAATAACCCCTTGAAGAAGTTCAAGTGTGTACATTGAGAATTTACGTTCAAATCATTCAGCTAACACATGTTCAGGTTGGTGTTTCTAGGAGAACAGAGCGGTATGTCAATGTCCGACTGCGGAAGCGTCCGAATCAAAATCACTAACAACCATAACAACAGTCGGAAAGACCTCTTTAATCACACGATTCATGTATGATTCTTTCGACAACATGTATCAAGCGACAATTGGCATTGATTTCCTCTCCAAGGTCAGGACCGTGACAGCCGACCCCTAGGCCAAACTAACATCTGCCCACTTAGACCATGTACCTCGAGGACCGGACGGTGCGACTGCAGCTTTGGGATACTGCTGGACAAGAACGATTCCGAAGCTTGATTCCTTCTTACATCCGCGATTCAAGCGTAGCTGTTGTTGTCTATGACATCTCTAGTATGTGCCCCTGATGACCCCACTACCCGGCTAACCCCCTCGCCCTCAATGTGGCTATGCACGAGTCGTGCTAACACCGCTCTTCTTATAGACGCTAAGTCATTTCAAAACACCAAGAAGTGGATTGACGACGTACGAGCCGAGCGAGGTAACGATGTTATTATTGTGCTGGTTGGAAACAAGACGGATTTGAACGACAAGCGGGAAGTGACCACACAGCAGGGAGAAGAGGAGGCAAAGAAGAACAACCTCATGTTTGTCGAGACAAGCGCAAAGCTGGGCCACAACGTCAAGAACCTGTTCAAGAGGATAGCACAAGCCTTGCCTGGCATGGAGGGAAGCGATGCCGCGGCGCAAGCTTCCAACCAGAGTGAGTACCTATGCCCGGCAATTCCGAAGGTAACTAACACGATGCTTAGTGATTGATGTCAAGACGAACAACTCGCAGCAGTCGCAAGAAGGCTGCGCATGCTAAATATGCCAGCCCCGATTCGGGAATGGAGTACAGGAGTACCTGGGAAAACGCAAGCCGTACTCGAGATGCGAAAGAAGCCTGGCTACCTCGCACACAACATAGGATATCAAGCATAGCGTGTGGATCTGAGTGCAGGAGCTTGTATAATACAACCAGGACTACGAGCCTACGATCGTTATATAAGAAACTTTAATGTTGATTCGACTGGCTTGTGCTGGTCAATCATTTCGCTTCTATCTCGTTACACTTTCATCAGCCATGCCGCTTCAGAACATCTTATGATATGGTAAACGATCCGTTCCCTTCACCTTCATTGTAAGTGTTCTCCACACTTTTTATCGGGCTTGGCAATTATGCGTCAAGAACTGTTGCATCTTCAATGGCCCGTTCCGGTTTATACTATGAACTTTCAAGCCGCATTTTGTACTTGCACTTCACCATTGGCGAGGCCGAAATAAGCAGCAATTGGCTTCTGTGCTTGAAGTCGCTTGCCCAACTTCACGGCTTCACTGCCGTTAAAGCCATGGAACAGTCCAATTTCAACGATGCCAGGGGTTCGGACCAATTCCTCAGCGAGCGCATTAACTTCCCAGGCACCGTCCTTTCCACGACCATCCCCTTCCGACTTGATATCCTTGGGAAGAAGCAAGGGAGAAAATGGGGCGTCGATAAGCCACATACCGTTGTCTGTCACGCATTCTCCAGCCTTGCTAGGGAGGCCTGAACGCACAACAGGGTTGGCTGAACCCATTGCTCGAAGACGGGTCAAAACATCAGGGGCAGATAGGGGAAGGACTTCGATGGGAATGGTCTTCCAGGTGGTACATAATCTAGGAGACTGCTTTCGGTAATCTGGTAGTTGTCAGTCTGTTTCAATTTTTTCGGGGACAAAACTACTCAGTGCATACCAGCAACAGCAATGAACTTCTTTGCAGCAATTGCTACCAGTTTCTCTTGGAACAGACAAGCACCACCACCCTTGATAAGGTTGAGGTCCTCGTCAACCTCATCAGCACCGTCGAAGGCAACATCAAGAGGAACAGGAAGCCCATCCACGACTGGTCTCTCATCAAGATTGACAAGGTTGAGACCAGCAGCGCGAATGAGACCCTTTGACTGGCTCCCAGTAGGAATAAAGGTCATTCCCTTGTAGAACTCAGGACCCTTGCTGACAATGGCGTCGACAACGTAAACAACAGTACTGCCAGAACCAATGCCGACGAATGTGTAAGAAGCATCGAGGTGATCATTGACTGCCTGGTAGGCGGCCAATTTCTTGGCCGATTCGACTAGGTTGGCTGCTGAAGACATGGCTCTCAAATTGGACCTGTAAGTGAGACTGAGACTTTGAGTCTGTTTATAGCTGCGTATGTGGGTTGGTGGGATGTGCAGGACCCCGCGGTGCGGATGACGAGGGGTGGTGTGGAGATGTCGTGGAGAAGTGTAGGGTAATTGAGGTAATTGAGTTGAGAAGAACCTAGCACCTCGAGCCAATGTTGTAGTTGAGTGGAAAGTGTGATGTGTAGAAGCTGATGAAAGTATGGGTGGTTTTGGGATAATATAGTGTTTCATGAGAGACTTTGTAGGAAGAAAAGACGCAGTTCCGACCAGAGCGGGTGACTCTCTGGTGGAGAGATGTGAAAGCCACTTCATGTAGGAAGACAAATGGACCCTTTTTGCCAAGGGCAATCAATAAGCAAGCTTGGAAAAGTACGGCAAATTAGAAATTCAGGATATCTACCAGGGCACGAATGGGCAGTCGAGAAGGATCACATGTGATCAACTTCCCTCAATCACCTCAACTCGATGGGAGTCAGATCAGGAAGATGTTCTGTCGTGTCTTACGAATCAAGAGCTGTGATTTAGCGGGCCAGCGAAACGAATATCTGTGAGGGATCAAGAGACCCAATTGGGTTTTTCCAAACCTACCGCACTTCACCTAGAAGAGGCAAGCCCAAGCGCAGAAAGATTATCTACAGCTTGGGCGGGTTTGGGGCGGGTTTGGGATTTGGGGTTGCAGCAAGTGACGTGATGGCTTGCTGTCACCACCTAAAACTCAAAAGATTAAAGGTGATGAGTCAGCATTATGATTGGCTGACAAGTTTCTAACTTAGCCCAGCTTTGTCGGTCACCACGTGATTTAAGATTACACCGGCAGTCTCGGGCGCAAGTTCTTGAGGCAGACCCTGGTTGCATCATTCATTTGTCCCTGTAATTTCGTTCTTCTCCTCCGCGTTCCTTATTCAGTCTCGATATCGACAAACGACGAGGAATAGTTCATTGAGTTCGAAGGTCCCGGAAGGAAAAATCACCTTTTCACAAGAGAACGCGCCGCCATGTCTCGGTTTACTCGATCCCTCCGGGTACCCCGGCCTAAGGTAAGGAGGAGCACGCGACTCGATCCTGATATCGTCTCACAAGGACGGCGATGAGGTCAACAAATGCTAACTGAAGTGTTTGCAGAGCCTATTCGGCATCACCAGCCTCCAGACCGGCGTCGAACTCATCGCTTTGGCTCTCGTCTTCAACAAGATCACTGGCGTTTACGGACTCCTGGCCATTCTTACTGGATATCAGCTATCTCTCCTCCAGCTCTCAACATACGTCTACTCTATTGCGGTTCTCGTCGGACTAGCAATTCTTATTCCTCACGTTCGGCGACAAAGCCCCTTCGAGTGTTTGGCGCTCGCATGGCTTTACATCATCGACACCGTTATCAATGCAGCATACACCGCAGCCTTTGGCTTGGACTGGTACTTCTCTACTCAACTGAGCGAGACAACCGAATCCAAGAAGACGGATCTCCCTAATTTTGTGGCTGAGGGTATGCAAGGCCTGCGCAAGGAGGCTGCCATGCATGGAAAAGTCGTTCCTCAGGAAACGGCTGCCAGCATGTTGTTGATTGTTGGCGCGACGTTGATCCGTGTGTATTTCAGTTTCATCGTTATGGCGTATGCACAGCAGGTGTTGCAAAAGTATATGCAGCTGATGATTCTGGAAGGCCCTGGCGTTGATGACCAAGAAGGCCCTTTCGCTGAGGATCTTCCTGACGGTGAGGGCCGCCGGGGCCGCCTTGGCCGTTTGATGGTATCATGTGGCAGAGCTTACTGGCTTGACACCCGGGAGTCTGATGAATGGGCTCCCAGCCTGGGAGGACCCAACAAGCCCGTCTCAGCGGGCACGCTCTCTGGCGAGGTTTAAAACCGTTTCATGCGGAATCTACCGCGCATCACTGGGCGACCCTGATGAATCATTCTCAGGGCTAGAAGTCGGATGAATAATAAGCGGACAGGCCGGGAGGGAGAGTATGTTCTCTTTTTTGCATTTCGTGGTGCAACATAGGACCGGTGTTTCGGGTTCAGCAATTCGCATGTTCATGGTCAATGAACAAAGACGATAGACGGAGTTTGTTTAGTAAGAATGTGGCATCTTGAAGATCCAAGAGGAAACAAGCATAAGTCCAGTCCAGTCCAACACGGAAAGTATGCCGATGACTCGGCCGGCACGGAGGAAGGGCGGCATATGCGGCGAAATCGCGGCATGTTGTGGATTCGTCGAACGGCCACTGCGGGCTGTCAGAGCGGATGAGCCGATACAAGATGTTGAATACGGATTGCGTGATAGGACCATCCCAGTTCAATGCTGAAAGATGTGAGAGGCACATGATATTATCTCGTCATTGCACACTGGGTCGTCATGGATCGATGAGCGCAAGGTTCTTCTCTTGTAAGGTTTACTAGAGTTGTTCTGGATTATGAAATGGGTGCATTGAGTACAAAATATTGGGATAATGATAATACTTGCTACGCAGCTTAGCACCTAATACACCTTTTGGTTAGACAATGAAATTGGATACCAAGATCTGTCCTTTCACAAGTTGCTGTTGTCATCACTGTTTACTTTCATCTTGATATGGTTGTTGGTGAGACCGGCCAATGACATCTGAGCAGTTAATCAATCAGTAAGCCTCAGTATAAAATAGCTAGCCTCCGTGCTCGGACACTCCCGCCTACGGAGGCAGCGAGAGGGTATCTTCCGATATAGATGGCTAATGTCTGTGCTTCTTTGGTGAATCTTTTCTTTCCGATGCATGACCTCAGGCATCGTGGGATCGTGAACATAGCCGACAGGATTACCAACTGCCTCCGCCTCAGACATGAATGATGAAATCGTAAAGTAAGCTCATGAACCTTCAGGGCCCAATGTCATTGGGAGAAGTGAGAAACATACGGACACCGGCCGGTAGTCGGAGTGATCCCTGCAATTCGCAAGTGAATTTTCGTTTCTGGGGTGGTCATGCAATTCTTCGCAACGATACTGCAGAATCAATCTCTCATCATTTTGGTAATTCTTGCGCGGACCGTCGGTGGCCCAACAGCATCCCTCAGCAGGAACTCGGGGTGGGTCCAGGTCGCCATGTACCCCTGTACGTATCTCCTGCCCAATGCCGGTGTTCGCGCGGGGAGCTCTATTGGTTGATCGCATTACATAAGGCCCAGCAGGCCAATTGAACATCAGCTCGAAGCAAATCCAAAGCTCCTCATTCGCTATCGGTGGGCGCGGAGTCGTGCACTGGCCCTTGTTCCAGCGGAAGACGCGACCCTGAGAGAGCACCCCCAAACTGTCGACAGGACGCAGTGAGCCCCGCCGTCCGGGGCATAGCATCCCGCTAATCGATCACGCAATCGAGGGCGAGGATTCATACAAGCCAATCTTGTGGCCATTGAGCGGCGTCTGGATGGAATTTGCAGCTGTTTTGCAACTAAATTAATGGCGCGGGGAAAAAATCGGCGAATGGAAAAGAAAAAATAAGACGTGCGAATGAGCAAAAGCACAGCCGAGGGACCGGACCCAAAAGACAAGACAAGACAAGACCAGACCAGACCAGACGGAACGAGGGGCGTCTCTAAAGTTCAGGCAAAAGGGCGTGTCTCTGCTCGCTCCAGTTTACAAACTTCTTCTCTTTCCTTTGAGCGTTGAGCAGCGGGAAGAAACCTTCTTCTAATTCTATAGAAAAGGAAGAAAACCACCCACAATCCTCGGATCTTGCTTTGTTGAGCGAGTCCGTCATTGAGATTTCTTTCCTTTCTCTCCATCTCTCTCCTCCATCTTCCTCTTATACGCCACTCTCCCTTCTTCGAGTGAAGCGCAAGCAGCTTTGTCTGCTCTGTCTGTTTAAAAGACAGTTCGATCATAATACCCGACGAGCCGAACACGACGACGGAAAGCGACACAATGGACGCTGCTTCACAGCACCAGATCAAGACTCCTGAAGAGGCCGGTGAGTTTTCCTTTCCCCATACGTTGGAGGCGGTACCGGGATGCTGCATGAGTTGGAGATAACCTGCTACTCTGCAAAGCAATTGAGCTTTGTCTGCGCAGATATAGTATCTGCAATTCAGAGTGAACAGGCAGTTCTCTATCTCAACCAATCTAGCCTGCCCCGCAACAAGACGAATCGATTGCTAATGCGCTTCTCATAGTGGCTCGAATTGCCTACCTCTCCAGCGATGTCGTTGTTTCTGTCCAGCCCGCCATTGGCACCGACTCCGAATTCTCTTCTCACCTGAACCGATACGCCAGCCGCAAGGACAGCAGCTTGGTCGCTCAGAGTGCTGATACAGTTCCTGAGGTGAGTCTACCCAAGGGCCATTTACCCCTCCTAAATGGTCTCCGAAAAATCCCCGATCTCTTTTTTGGAGGACTCTATAAGCCATACTACTCATAATCCATGGAATGGAAAAATGAATTGAATGGCTTATGCATAGAGTTCGCTGGTCGAGCCATTGCGATATTGAACCACGTTATTGAATATAGCTAACCGTCAAACCAGATTATCCCTGTACGACACAACACGGATCCTCTTCTCTCAGTATACACACCCATTCGGGCTGGCAAGCTCGTCTCAGTCACCACCACATCCAACATCCTCCTCCCATCCGTCTCACACCTATACAAATTGGCCAACTACCCTGTTGTCCTTCACGTCTCTCTTCAGCCCCGGACGTTCCCCGACTACTCGGTTATTACTGCCGTTCGTAACTCGGGATTCACATTCGTTCAGTCTGAGACCCTTCAGGAGGCCCAGGATTTGGCTCTGACTGCTCACGCTCTTGCTGTCCGAACTGGCAAGGGTGTCATCCACTTCTTTGCTCCTTCCACATCATCAAAGGACAAGCCTATTGCCATCGAGGATGCCGCTGTTGTTCGCGACGTTCTCGACATCGAGAGCGTTCGCCGATTCCAGGCTGGCTCTGCCCCCTCTTCACAGACCGGAATCTATGCGGACGATGGCCACATTGCCGTTTCTTCAGACCATGATGCGCCAGCAGTGAACGGTGCCCCCGCGAGTGGAAACCTCACTGTACCCCCTAGCGCGAACGCCTCCAAGGCTCCCTCAGCTGGAACATCGGTCAAGTCCAGCCAAGACAGCGAGGCCAGCACTCCTGTTGCTCCCTCATCAGTCGCCACTACGGTCGAGACTGCCCCCCCTCAGGTTACATCCGAGGATATCTATAAGTCGGCTGGACGTATCTGGGCTCAGCTCAAGGCATCAGTTGGGCGGGAGTACAGCGCCTTCGAGTATTCTGGTCCTCCTGATGCTGAGAACTGCCTCTTCATTTTCGGTTCCGATGCCGGTGCCTTCGCTCAAGCCATCGACGAGGCCCGCCCCGAGGAGATTTTCGCCAATACCGCCATCCTTACTCCCCGCCTCTACCGACCTTGGATCGGCTCTAGACTTGTCGAGGCCATTCCTCGATCGGTCAAGCGAATCGCCGTGTTGGAGCAAATCCACCGCAAGACTACCAAGTGGGGTCCTCTCCTCATTGACGTCTTGACTTCTGTGAAGAGCGGCCCTGGTGGCGTTGAGGCTATTGTTGGCCATCAGCTTGGCTACATTGCCCCCGATGTCGTCGTTCAGGCCCTGCGTGGTGTTCTGCAGAACCTCACTGCCGAGAAGCCTATCCAAAACCTTGAGGTCGGCAAGAAGGAGGCTTGGAAGGAGCCTACCGGTTATGACCTCCAGACTCCTCAGCTCGAGACCGCCTATACCAAGATTCTTGATCAGCTCTTTGGCAAGCGAGCATACATTGCCAATGCTATCAAGTCTTCTACCACTGGCCTTTCTCCTAACGTTGCTGCTAGCCCTGAGTTTGGCTTCGGTTCTCTCCTGGCTCGCAAGCAACGTCGTGGCCAGTTCGTTTCTCAGGTCAAGGATGCTGCTACCAATGGTAGCTTCACTACCGATGCCCCTAAGAGCTGGTTGGCGCGATGGGCTATGAACGCTGATGATGCCACCAAGTCCACTGAGATTGCCGACGATGTCATTGCTAGACTTGAGACCGATGGCTCTTCGCTGGCTGCTGAGCTCCTCTCTGCCAAGGGTCTTTTCCGAAAGGAGTCCCTCTGGCTGACTGGCTCTGATGCCTGGTCATACGATCTTGGCAACTCCGGTGTTCACCACGTCCTTGCCTCTGGCGAGAATGTTAACATGCTCATCATTGACTCTACTCCTTATTCCGAGAGGGCTGCTGCTGATGCCAACCGCCGCAAGAAGGACATTGGTCTATATGCCATGAACTTTGGCAACGTCTACGTTGCTTCCACGGCTGTCTACAGCTCATACACCCAGGTTCTTCAGGCCCTTCTTGAGGCTGACAAGTTTGAGGGTCCTTCCGTCGTTCTTGCCTACCTCCCATACTTCGGTGAGACCGACTCTCCTCTCACTGTTCTCCAGGAGACCAAGAAGGCTGTTGACACTGGTTACTGGCCTCTGTATCGATGGAACCCCGATAACGAGAAGAAGGGTGAGCCCAACTTCTCTCTCGACTCTGAACTGATCAAGCAAGAGCTCAAGAAGTTCCTTGCCCGTGACAACCAGCTCACTCAGTTGGCTGCCAAGGAGCCTAAGTTTGCTGCTGCCCTTGTAAAGGACTTCGGAAGTGAGGTGCGAGCTCAACAAAAGAGGAAGGCTAAGGATGCATACAACCAGCTCCTCGAAGGCCTGTTGGGCGCCCCTCTCACAATTCTATATGCTTCTGACAACGGCAATGCTACTACTCTGGCCAAGCGTTTGGCTAGCCGAGGTCGTGCTCGCGGCTTGAAGACTGCTGTTCTGGCTATGGAGGACTACCCAGTCGAAGATCTCCCTACTGAGGAGAATATTGTTTTCATCACTTCCACCGCTGGTCAGGGTGAGT